GTCTTTTTATATTTGTTTCTTTCATCTACTACAAATGAAGGGAGCTGTGTTTGCAGAAGGAGGTTATAGCTCTGAAGCCCTGACCTTATTTTGTTTGCTTCCCACATGTCTGCAATTACAGCAGAATAAGCAAGTATAAGATCAGGATTTGCTACTCCTCCCAACCTGCCATCTCCCCCTAACATCCCAGCAGAGCTGCTCCCATGCTCTGCAGTTGATAATACACGTGGGGGTAATTCTAGCCCCAAATCTTAACTTTCTTTGCATGCTGAGGGACTTGGGGAGAAAAAGGATTGAGTTTCCATGAGCCCTCTTTTAATAGAATGTGATGAAAAAGGATGTAGCTGAAAGCTGAGAGAAATCCACCAGCAAACTTTATTGCAACGTTGCAAGGAAGCCTACCTTGAGTATTGCTTTTGCTGAAGCAAAGCAATTTTGATGCACAATTCTGTACATCATGAAATAGAGGACATTGTATGAGACAGTTAAAGCTGTGTGCTGTGTGAATAACTCCAAGCTGTATTTTTTCCTGTAATATTTTACTTGTGTTTTCATTCTATATGAAGCTTTTTTTCAGGAGAAATGTTGGAATTTCCCCCTAATAAAGCAGTACACATAAAAGAAAATATTTAATAATCCAGGGATTTTTGAGATACCGTGTGTTTTCTGTTGAAAGCCCTTGTGTAGCAGGGCTTTCAACAGTGTAAAATGCAGTATTGCTTTCATGACAGTTATATGGGGACTCTGGACAAATGCTGTTTTTCTGGTGTTTGCTGTTAGTTTTTTTCTTCTCCCCATATCTGAGTTCCTTGATCTTGTGAAAGAAAACAGGAAGTTTTAAGAGCATAATCAAGATGAGAGGAAAACCAGGCTAATTCTTTGTGGGTTTTTTTCTTTGTTCTGTTTTTAATGTGATTAAAAATATGAAGATCTGCTTTAGACCATTCTATTAACTTGACTTTCATACCACAAAAGTGACTGTCTAGTCTTCTGAGCATATTGTGTATGTTAATCTGCATGGAAGATAATGCTTGAAGATATATATCAAATTTGGCATAAAATCGATGAGTTATTTCTGTATGATGTTTTTGGCGCTGTGTTCCGTTTAACTTGAGTGCAGACACAGTAGATGGCACTTGAGTTACTAATTTTATGGTGTAGGAAAGAAAGCCAAACTCAGTTACAGAGTTTGCTGTTTGTAGCAATAGGCACATTTCATGAAAGAACAGTTTCAAAGTTTTTCTGTCAGTTAAATACTCCTAGGAAAAAAAGGAAACCATGCACAAATTCTTTTTCAGTACAAGCAGACGATCTCCAAGTCCTTGAATTTGTTGAACTTTTAAAAAAAATACTGGACAGTAATCATAATCAATCTGAATCATAAATATATAGTGCCAGATTCCCTTTAAATATGTTGCCAGTGTTTGGGTTCATAAAATATTGTTTACAGCTTGTTCTTTAATAGAAGTTCTTTCTTTATTATTTCTAGTCTCGCTTACTCCCACAGAACATTTGTGATGTGACCTCTGATAGCAGGTGAAAGATAAAAATCTGCTAACGAAGTGGAAGTCTAACAATATTGTCATGTTATCAGAACAGTTTGGATACCATGTTCCTTACTGGGGCTAAGTTTGATAACCAAAGCTAGGAATATGCTGGTAGTTCTGCTAATCAAAATGTAAACATTTGATTTAGGGTATTCCAAAGTAGTTACCTTATGCTATGTTTGGTGATGTACTTTTAGACAGTACTGTTTGGTCATTTGTTGATTTTTCAACATTTTCAGTAGTAGCATTAGGTAATGGACTGACAGTCTTCAGAATTGGAGTGGCAATATGAACTTCTCCAATAATATCCTGTCACTATGATTCAGCACTAAAGTTTATTGCTGTGTTAAGAAGGTTCGGTCAGATTTAGTCCATGATTCATTCTTTGGCCTTTCTGCTGATGGTCTTATAATACTTATTTTAATGAAAATGCTGTCAGACTTGACCTAGAAATTAGCTTCATTTCTATTGTATTCCTATGTTGTTTTATCACTCTGCCAATTCCAGGTTTTAGGGTTAATAAAAGTGTTTGAAGGCCAAAAATGGATGTTTATTTACTAGAGGACAGAGTTCTAACTTTATCTTTTATTTTATTTAACTGATGTTTTTAAAATACAAGGAGGTCACAGTGGTGCTTCCAAGGCTTCCAGAAGCTGCACCATGCCATGCCTCCATGAGCCCAGTGCCAAATCCCTGCCCTGTGGTGGGGCATGGGCTGTGTGGTGTGCAGACTAGCCCCTCCCTGGTGATGCTCTCCTGGGACCCAGGTCCCTGTGATCAAGGCTGCAGCCCATGGATAGTGTGGGGCTTGTAGCAGCCCCTGGTACTCTGACCCTGTGGCTTCTTGGAGTTGGATTGCTTGGGAACACAGGCCAAGTGGGTAAAGCCTCTCTGGTTTTACCATGGCTGAAATGTAAATATGGGGACCTCTGGCAGATTGATTTTATTACACTCTCTCAAACCTATCATAGCATGTGCTGACAATGGTGGAAGCAACCACAGAATGGCTAGGAACATATCTTGTGTCCCATGCCACCACATGGGGCACTATCCTGGGCCTTGAAAAGCAAGTGTTAGGGCAACATGGTACTCCAGAAAGAATGGAATCAGATAATGAGCCCCAAAACCACTTCACAGACACTTGGGCACAGAGCACAGCTGGGAGGGGATAGAACTCACGCTCTATGGTGCACTCTGAAAGATGCAATGATGTCATGGATTGCTAAAGACTACACTGAGAGCAGTGGGTGGTGTGACTTTGAAGCACTGGGATACACATTTAGCCTAAGCCTAGTTAGTCAACACCAGATGAGCTGCCAATCAGGCTGGCCCTGCCCAATCAAAATTTTTATGTACTGTAGAAGTAGATAAAGCTCCTGTAATGCATGTTAAAAACCTGCTGGGGAAAACAGTCTGGGTTATTCCCACTTCCGTGGGATTGCTTTTGGGCAAGGACCTGAGTGCACTTGGTATAGACAATTATGTGTGCTCTACCAATGTAGATGTGATTTGTCACTGCATTTGTAAAAAAGTAGGTGTTAAGTAGATGTTACCTGGCACTGAGTTTGAACAGTGTAACTTTGCAAGGAGCTTACATCTTGGTTTATTCTGCCTTGAGTATTTGCCAGTGGGTTTCATCTCCCTGTACTGCTCTTTTGAACAGGTTTTGTGGCTGTGTGCTGGACAGAAACATACAAACAAATAGGAAAGTGTAGGGAATTTTATTTGAGGGTGTAAATTATTATAGCTGTCTACTAGCTAGTCTTCATTCCTCGATTAGGACAAGTCCTCTGATGATGTGGCTGCATCTGTCCCTTATTCAGGATGCTCCATTAAGGCTAGAAAGTAAAATCCTTTTAACAGTTAGTCATGTTTTTTTCCTTCCAAGAAGCCAGCTTTTTCCTCTTTGATTGAGTCTGCCCAGCAGGAGGTGCCTTTTTGCTTTGCCAGTTGGAGAAAACCCACATCCACTTACAAAGACTGTACTGGAACTTAGAGGCATTTCATTTTAATTCCAGGCAACCATTCCTTTGCTGCTGCCTTTGGAACAGCTCAGCTGTGGAAGAAGTGAGCTAATGTGAAGCACTTAGTGAAGCCCTGAGATTTACGGTTGAAGTAATTAAGGAGAGGAATTGCACACCCTGTACTTGATTTTTGTTTTAATTAGTCTTCCTTTGATCTGGTAACTCAATTTAAATTTTAAGATTTGAATCAACAACCTGCCACAGTATATTGCTTAATTCCTCTCCTTCTCAGCCTGTAGACCAATGTAGAATATGGTTTATGCTTTCTGGTTTTTATTTTGTAGGGAAAGAGTTTGACTGTCACTCCTACTTCCTATTTTCTACTGGGAGTCTTTCCATCTCTCCCATCCTCTCTTTTCCTCCATTCTTCCCTTTTCTCTCCCAATCACTTTCTTTATCCTCCAGTATTTTCGCTAACTTCACATTCATTTTAGGATGTAGTTGAGAATTGTTTTAGAAATCTGCCTCCGGCATCTTCACAGATTATTTCCTTCACTGTGAATTAGTCCCACTCTTTCCATGTGACTTCTGATTTATTGGAAGAGCTGTCTTTTTGCTGTTGCCAACAGCTTCCTCCACTTCTCTGCCTTGGTGGGTAACCTAGCCAATTTTAGTACTTATTTGAAAAATCTTTTTTTTTTCTTTTACTCCTACCCTGGCTTCTAAATTCCCTTTTCCTATGTGAACATGTTCTATGCCTCAGTTTATCATCATGTTGTTTTTGTGATTAAGCACAAGAGAATTTCCATGTACATTTTTCACATTGTATCTGCAACTTGGATGTTGAAGCATGCTAGAAGTCTACTCTGATTGTATTACTGATTAATAGTCTTTCTTCTTCTACCAGGTTTTTATTAGTATAGTCTATGGTTGTTGTGCAGGTCCGCTTTGATGGAAAGAAACTACAAGCTTTAGAAAGAGAATGGCAATTTAAATCAGAGGCATCAAGCCAACCATCATTTCTTGAAGAAAAGTCATAAAAACATTAATATTAACATAAACCAAATAAGACTAAGTTTTTGAAGTCTTATCCAAAAAAAATTTCTGCCAAAAAGCTGCTGGGCAAATGTGGAAAATAGTATAGGAGCCTGGTCTATCTGCTTTAGAAAAATAAAACTTTATATTGACATTACCAAGATTTGAACTTTGCTTCTAGAAGTGGGATATTTTAGAATTCATCTAAGCTATGTTGCCATTAAGCTTTTCTTGTCTCTGAGTGGATATGTGCCCTTTTATATTTTATAAACAAACAGAAATCTTCTGAAGCTTCTGATACAGTTCAGTGCACAGAAATGCTAATGCATGCATGCTGTACTTGTGATCTCTATTTGGCAACCAATCGTTATTTTCTTTTTTTTTTCCTTCAAGTGAAGGAGACTGTTCTTCTGATTTTTCCATGATAATTTGCCAGATCAATGATACAGCTACTTATTTTTTAAATTCCTGTCACAATACGTCTTTCTGCTAGCTTTTCATTTTGCCTGTTTTGTGTTTCCTGTTTTGTTCCATCCTTGAAAATCCCCAATGCAGCTGTCTTGTGGCCACTGGAGTTGCAAGTAGGTGGATGGAATGAGACCTCTTTTAGTGCTTTGCCTTATTGGTGAATTTTAGCTAGCTGCTGTTTATTTCACTAGCAGCATTCCAAAAATACCTTTTGTGAGTTTCTTTAGTTTGGTTACCTAGTTGCATCTGTTGCATTTTGCATGAATGAAGTAGATAAGAGTTGTGCAGGATTTCTTCTCAAATGTGGTGGAATCTAGCTTTCATAATTCTGTATTTACTCTGTGGTGTTATACATCTTAGCTTTGATAATGACTATGAAAAGCCAAACCAGTTCAAGTCTCAGGTAATTCCATGGTATAGCAGAGTATGTTGAAATATATTAGGTAAATTTTTCTCCTTTAAACAACAAAACTGCAAGTCTTTATAGCCTTTAAGCAAGCAGACAGAACTTAAACAAGTTGAGACAACCAGATAGTCCTGAAAAAATACGAGTATGCACCTTAAATAGTATAACCTTTATATGCTCCTTGTCTTTGATTCAGGTGGTGGGAACTTCCTTTGAGAGATGTTTTTTTCTTGTTATAGTTAGGAGAGTTTCCTGTAAAATTGATCTTTCTTGAGATTTTGAAGAGCAGCAATGAAATAGGTGATAACTAGCAAGAGTAATGTCTTGGCTGTTTTTAGATTGCATACCCTATTGTATTTTTCATATATGCTAGGCCACATTGAATATGCCTCTAAACTGTTGGGATGTAACAAATGCATTTATTACAAGAGTTCTGATTACTCCTAACTGCTTAAAGAGGGGTTTGTCATTCACATTGAAACTGTTCTTATGATAGTGGCTCCCAACAACTGACACTGAGGTGGAATTGTTGGATGTGGTTCCAAATCAAATAAAATCATATTTGAAAAGTTCCAAGATAAGTGTAAAATTGTATCTTTATCATCTTGCATATGGAAATAACTGTTTATCATAGACTATTATAGACTGTTCGCTTGCTAAAGCAATCTCATAATCCCTACATAGTACTACAAGTGATGCTTTGCTATTGCTTTTAAAGAATTTTAGTCCTGCAGGTTGTAGGATGGCTTGGAAGGAAGTAAATAATCTTGCTTGGCTCAGGATTTTTCAGTGTCTCTGGTAATTTGAAATACAAATGATAGTGTGAGTGTTGAGTGTCTCTTGGGCATTCACATTCTTGGTCATATGTGAAAGCCCAAGAATTGAAAGGAGCCTGGTTTAAGGCAGGATGAGGACTGGGAGTCCTCCCAGTTTGTCATGGTGCAAGGAGTTTCTACTATGCCTTGCCTTATATCTTATCATTCAAATAAAAGCTGTTTATGGGTGTTCCAGCCTTTCTCAGAAAACTGCATAGAAATGCATCCCCTTAGGCCAGAGATCTTTGAACACAGCACTGAAGAAGAGGATAAAGTATGCTTGGCTTGTATTCACTCTATTATGACTTGAAATCAAAAATAAAGATAATAGTCATATGACCAGGTTCAGCCTTGATAAAGGAGTAAGTATTTTGTGCTGTTGTCTATTCCATCACAGTGGGAGCTTTAAAAAAGGCCTCCAGCCAGAAGGTTGTTCCAGATACTCACCAATCTATTGATTCTGCTCTTGCTTACTACAGGAATGGGTGAGTGTAATAGTGTGAGTTTTTTAGGCATATAACCACAAACCTTTACAGCCTGTAAGATTTCTATTCATCGTTTCTCTTTCAGTCTGGCAGTTGGCCACAGGTTTGACCTCAGTACTTGAAGGACCTACAGTTTCTCTGAGTACGGTTTTGACTGTCTCACAAGATTTCTAGAAGAAAGCACTGAGAGAAGAGGCTTGCAAGCAGAATATTGGGACTTATGCAGGACTTCACCAAAGGCTTTAATTTCTGGGAGAAATAAAAATAGTTAAACAATTAATTGTTTAACAAAGATAGAAATGCAAAATTGCTTTTGACTGCTTGGCTTTTGTAAGGTCTTTATTACATGTACAATTCTACACACTAAGCATTAAAAGTAAAACAAAAAAGCCCACAACCTTGTAAATAAAGTTAATTCTATTGACACATTGAAAATAGGAAAAGCAAGAAAACACTGCCACTGTTTTAGATCTGAGGAGGCTGATGAAGCATTGTGTAAGTTACACATCATTATCTTGATTACTGGACTTTTTCTCTTTTAGAGACCCACAGGGCAATATTTTTCTGGTAATCTTTAAGTAAAAGTTCATAGTATTGCAGCTGAGTGACTCAATTTCATTCTAAGTTTTGAAAAGGCAAGACTAAGGAATGGTTACATTGATTTTTTTCCTACACCTTGACCAGAAATCGCTTTAATGTAACCCAAAGTCTGGTCTGAATTCAGAGTGATTATGGAGACTCAAAAGAGGAATAATTTTTCTAAATATAGGAGAAAATTAGATTGTTTGGATAAATTGTTTGATCTCTTTCTTGCATGGTAGATATAAAGTTCTGTTGCCTCTGTTGGGTCTATTGTGGAAAAAAATATAAATATGAAAGAAAATGTAAACTAATTTAAGGAATGAGCTGTTTCCTCAGTAATTTGTCTATTTTTGTCTAATCTTGGAAAGCTATTAGCTTGTTTCATTAGTATTCTGCAGTGTAGAATTCCACGGGCAAGAACGCCTCTAAAGAAAGATGTGGGAGTTTTTCAATAATGTGACATAGAATTTTGAAAATTGTGTCAGCAACACATGGTTTTAAATAATTTGAAGACATTTCATATGAGATCAATAACTTTTAAAACATTCTGTTTTGAAAGCAATGCTCAGCTTAATTTAGCTTTCACAGCTTCTCATAGCATGTGCAATATAAGTGCAAAGCTTGTTTAATGTAGGTAGCTGCAGCGGATTTGGGGGGAATGGGGAGGACATACACAGAATTAAGATGAGCAAAATCTTAAACCACTTTAAACCCTTATGAAAGGTATAATTTTAAGATTGAGTGGATGGGAAAGAGCTTCTTTTGCAGGAATGTTGTGAGAGTTGTGTGAAGAACCAAGAATTACTCAGTGTTTCCCTTTTCACAGCATAAAAGGTGTGGTGTTGTTGTGGGTTTCAGTGTGTTTTTCTGGAAGGATTGTTTTTTGCCTTGTCCTTGTGGTCTTTCCAAGCCCTGGTTCTGTCTGATAGCCATGAGACAGCCATGTTGTTAACATGCATTCCCTTTCTTTGATTTTGCTTGATCTGGCCACTCTGGAATGAATCCTGTGCCATTCAAGAAACTGTGTTAACTTAGGTCCTGCAATACACTTTCACTTTGTAAGGTGGTATTTATCACTAGTGATGTTATTTTGGTGGGGGGCTAATTGTCTGTGTGATTTTTTTATTCATGGAAAGGGAGTCTTGGTTTTTTCCCTTAAGAGATGTGTAGTGTCCTTGGATGAATTTGCACTGAGCTGCAACCGTGGAACTGCTGCTGTGTCAAACAGGTCATGCTTGTTCCTGTCATGCTGGCATTATCAGGCCTGCCATGGCTACCTCAGTGCCATTAGAGGAGCAGCTTTCCTGCTAATGAAAGATGCAGCTAAATAGGTGCTTGTCTTCACTAGGTTACGAATGCTAGTAACTTGTTGAAGCTAAGTGGTAAAAATAAGTAGATTTTCTGCATAAATTTGATCCTAACTGCACATATATGGGCCAGCTCATGCACATACTGCCCAGTTACAGTAGTGCAGTCAGATCTCTAAGGTGAGACAGCAGTCCAATTGTGCACACGAAAATATGACCAATGATTTGGGCACGTCTGCTGATTTCATTAGAAACGCTGTGAGATTGTTGTTCAGTCAGTAGAGGAAAGTAAGTTTTTTAAGCCTCATCTGAAAGATCGTCATATAGTAAACTCTACTTGCTTTCATTTGCATCCTGACCCAGATTGAAACTGTGGTTCTACAGAGTCTAAGTATTTGAAACTTGAGGCAGAGAGATGCAGGTCATTCCTCTGTAGCATTTAATGGAATAACAACATTTTCCTTTTAAATCTAGTTGGATATCAGCTGGTAAATGGGGAAGGAAAGAAAGACAATGGGAATGCTTTAACAACTTTTAGTATCATATAATCTTGTTTTGAAATGCAAACACAAATGGGAGATTTAAGAACAACAACAAAACAGCATTACATATTCCCCCTCATCCTGCCACTTTTTTCATTGCAAAGCAGATCTTTTAGTATTTTGTCAAGTGCCCTTAGTGTTTCATATTCAAGATAGACTGGCTGAGTGGAAGGTTTGAGAAGAATAAATAAAGGAGTGGGAAACAAAGGGGGTGTGTGTATTTACTTGTCAAAGATGTGGAATTTGCAGATATTAAAGCAGAATCAGCCTAGGTTTAAAACCTAGAGGAATGGCTAAAATGTGGTACTGTTTTAGGTAGATGCTATTTTCCCTGTGGGCATTTGAATCTGAGTGAGTTTTTTTTATACAGCCAAACATGATTTATCATTTCAACATGCCCAGTGGGCTAAACCTGAAAATGTTTCATAACAAAGATAACCAGTATAAATGGTATATGGATTCTTTATTATTTGAAGGTGAACCTCAAAGTAAACATCACTGGTTTCCTGAATGCTTAAGTGGTACTTTGCTATGTTTGACTAATGGGTGTTGTGAGTTTTGGAATTTCAAGCAGCAGGATGTATTTCATAGAGAATAATACTCAAGTGAAACAGTGGTCTGTCCAGCAAGATTTCCTTTAACAAAGCTTTCTTGGCCGTGTAAGTTGCAAAAAGTTTGCAGTGCTCACTGTGCAAGGAAACAGAGTCTCTCTAAAATGTGTGTTTGGATGGTTACCATTAATGTTTCATCTCTTAAAAATATTGTTCTTTTTGATCGATTACCCTCATAGATGATTTTTGTTTATTTTATTAAATACAAAATAATTGGAAGATTGTAGGTATGGGGGAGAAAAACTACATACAAGACAAATGTGTGGCTCTTAGTTTATTTAAAGATAGGATAGTCAGAAATAAAATTACTGTTGTGCTGTTGTTTAAGTATAGTGATCTGCCCTGAAGTTACAGGGCAATGTAATTTCCTTTTAGCAATAAAGCAAAAGGGCAAGATTAAGGTTTTGCTGTAGATGATACCAGATCCTTTAACTATTCATTTGACTGTTGAAAAATATTCATCTTCCTTTGCTAAAATGGCACCACCTGATAACTTGACCCTAAAGCATAGTTTGTAGTTATTGTTCTTTTAATTTCAATACTTGCTTCTTCATTATCTGTTTGAGGCTTTTTATTTATTGCAACAAACATATATTCAGCTGTCATTGCTATATTTAAAAAATGCTCAAGTAATGGAAGACTATTTTTAAACTCTAAAATCTATTGTGGTTAGTCTGGTTACAAGGTGCACATCAGTCTTGAGACTGTAAAAGGAACAAGTTTGTGACCTCTCAGCACCTTAGGTTCAAGTCTGACATTACTTACTGTGGGTAAATTCCAAGTGTTACTTCTTCTCCATCTGTTCTAATTATGGCTGTGAATAATTTTTTCACTGTGTTTCTCTTTCCTGTAAAAAACCCCAAAGCCTGTCAGCTAGAACAGCAGGATCATAGAGAACCCTTCTGTTATGAAGGGACTGTGCTGAGTTTTGCCAGTTCAGATACTTTTCCTTGTTTTAAACTCCACAGTTGGTGATGAGTGCCTGTTTCCTTTCATCCTTCTGTATGTGCTGCATATATTTTATGAAAGACATTAGGGTAGTGCTTTCCTGTCAGAGCCTAAGTAAAACTAGAATAAGGTACCTAGTGGAGAATTAGAAATGTGGATTTGTTTTAGTTTTTTTATAATGTGGAGATGTTAAAGCGGACCAGGCAAGTGATTAAGTAGGACAGGGAGACCAGAAGAATGGTGTCAGTAGTTTACCCCATGCTTAGTTTGCTAGAATTTACTTTTAAAGCAGCTTTTGCTTGTCCAGGTGCATACACACACTTCTCCTGCAATGGAGAATTTACCAACTGCACAGAACCTGTTGGGCTTGTTTAGGACTTGAAGCAACAAAATGATTGTGTGGTGCTCTGCAGCACTGCTAGCCTTTGGGCGTTTATTGTGTCTACACTGTGCAATATATATCAGCAGTTGTATGGACCTCTGTTGAAGGAAGGGTATTTCCTTGACTCTGAAGTTTGTCATATTTTTATTTGGAGATACCATTGGCCTGATCTGTTAATGAAACAGGTGAATCAGTGTTAATAGGAACTGTACCTTAGTCTTTGATGGCTGGGGATAAACAGATCTCTGCAGCACACACTGCCTCACTGTGGTGCTAAGGTTTTCCTCATGACTCTTGCATGCAAAATAATGCAGACAATTACAGACAGAATATGAGCTGTCTTTACAATCTATGAATTTAGCTTCAAGTTCCCACCTCGGCCGACTGTTATCATCTTGTTTCATGCAGTTGAAAACTGCATATTGTGTTAAATATATTTCAGGGGATTTATAGAGATGTTGGTTAGGCAGGAGCTCCCTCTGGTTTTGATTTATCTGTGCTCAATATGCATAGGCATGTGAACTAAAGTAAATTGGTGAATGCCTTGGATTAAATTAGAGGGATGAAAATGAATGCAGAGTAAATGCATCCATAAGCCTAGTTAGATAGATGAAGGATTCTGCCAGGCATCCCAGTTATAATGTAGAAGTTGAGCATAATTCTCCAGTTTGTAGTCTGTTTTCAGCTTGTAGAGGAATAAACAAAGCGAAAAGTTATGTCATTGTCAAGTAGTGCTAGAGAAAAAGGAACACAGCATCAGGTCTATGTGGCAGGGAGAGACTGACTTGTCTTTCTTACCAGAATCTGGTCCTCTAAGTTCCCATCAAATGAGGGAAGTGTTTCTACCTCTGCTATATTATTTTCTGTCTTTATTTCTTTATTGTCCATTAAGGTAATCTAAGATATTACTTGACTACTTTCTATTCTGTTGAAAATGTATATTCTT